CTGGCGCACCTGGAGGCGGCGGCGTGGGCGCCGTACCGCGGCTCGCCCGAGTTCAGCCGCTTCGTGCAGTTCAAGTGGCTCGAGAGCCAGGCCGTCAACGCCGATGCCTTCGCCGAGTTCCGCGTGCTGGGCAAGGGCGGCTTCGGCGAGGTGTGCGCCTGCCAGCGCCGCGCCACCGGCAAGATGTACGCCAACAAACGCCTCAACAAGAAACGCCTCAAGAAGCGCAAGGGATACGAGGTGGGTGGCACCAGGGTGGCACCAAGGGTGGCACCAAGGGTTGTCCTTTGTCCCCAAAGGTCTCCCCAATGGTGGCCCCAATGGTGGCACCAAAGGTGGCCCTTTGTGCCTAAGGGTGATACCAATGATGTCCCCAAGGGTGTCCCAAGAGTGGCCCCAATGGCGGTACCAAAGGTGGCCCCAAGGATGGCCCAAGGGTGGCCCCAATGATGGCACCAAGGATGGCACTAATGGTGGCACCAATGGTGGCCCCAAAGGTGTCCCGATGGTGGCACCAATGGTGGAACCAAAGGTGGCACCAAGGATGGCACCAAGTGTGGCCTGAAGGGTGGCTCTTTGTCCCCACTGTGCCCAGAGGTGTCTCTCAGAACCCTCAGATGTTCCTCTCTCCTCAAATTCACCCCTCAGTCCCCTTGCATGTCCTTCTGTCACCAAATCTGTCCCCTCAGATGTCCCTTTGGTCCCTATGTCCATCCCTGTCCCTGTCCATCCTGTGTCCATGGTGGAGCCATCCCACATTCCCAACATGTCCCCAACATGTCCCCACGTGTCCCCGATGTGTCCCCACGTGTCCCCAGGCGGCGCTGGTGGAGAAGCGGATCCTGGCGCGTGTCCACAGCCGCTTCATCGTGTCCCTGGCCTGCGCCTTCCAGACCAAGACCGACCTCTGCCTCGTCATGACCATCATGAATGGCGGCGACCTGCGGTACGTGGCTGCGGTGGCCTCGGGGGACACTGGGGTGGCCTCAGGGTGGCCTCATGGTGGCCTTGGGGTGGCCTTGGGGTGGCTTTGGAGTGGCCTTGGCATGGTCTGGCATGGCCTTGGTGTGACCTTGATGTCCCCTTGGTGTGGCCTTGGTGAGACCCTGATGTGACCTTGATGTGACCGTGATGTGGCCTTGGATGTGGCCTTGATATGGCCTTGATTTGACCCTGGTGTGGCCTTGATGTGGCCTTGATGTGACCCTACATGGCCTCGGCATGGCTTTGGTGTCACCTTGATGTGACTCTTGTGTGACCTCAATGTGGCCTTGGTCTGACCCTGGTGTGACCTTGATCTGCCTTGGTGGGACCCTGGTGTGACCTTGGCACTGTGCTGGTGCCACAATGATCGTGTCCCTGCCATGTCCCCAATGTCCCCAATGTTCCCAATGGCCCCAGTGTCCCCAACGTCCCTGATGTCTCCAATATCCCCAACGTCCCCAATGTCCCCAATGTCCCCAATGTCCCCGCTGTCCCCAGGTACCACATCTACAACGTGGACGAGGAGAACCCGGGCTTCGCGGAGCCGCGCGCGGTTTTCTACACGGCGCAGATCCTGCTGGGGCTGGAGCACCTGCACCAGCACCGCATCGTCTACCGCGACCTCAAACCCGAGAACGTCCTGCTGGACGACGCCGGTGGGACATGGGGACACTGGGGACACTGGGGACATTGGGGATACTGGGGACACTGGGGACACTGGGGACACTGGGATATTGGAGATGTTGGGGATGTTGGGACATTGGGGACATTGGAGGATGTGGGAAATGAAGGGGACACGGGGACGTTGGTGGTCACTGATGGTCATTGATGGTCACTGGTGGTCACTGGTGCTCACCAATGGTCATTGGTGGTCACTGATGGTCATTGGTGCTCACTGGTGGTTACTGGTGGTCATTGATGGTCATTGATGGACACCGATGGTCACTGATGGTCACTGGTGGTCCCCAGTGGTCACTGGTGGTCATTGACGGTCATTGATATTCACTGGTGGTCACTGATAGTCATTGAGGGTCACTGGTGGTCCCCAGTGTTCACTGGTGGTCATTGATGGTCACTGATGGTCATTGGTGGTCACTGGTGGTCACCAATGGTCACCAATGGTCACTGTTGGTCACTTGTCCCCAGGCCACGTCCGTCTGTCCGACATGGGCTTGGCCGTGGAGCTCAAGGATGGAGAGAGCAAAACTCGTGGCTACGCCGGGACCCCAGGTGGGGACAGGGGACACTGGGGGGACACTGGGGACACTGGGGGGACACTGGTGGGACACTGGTGGTCCCCTGTCCCCTCAATGTCACCTGTCCCCCCCAATGTCCCCTCGCTGTCCCCGCAGGGTTCATGGCCCCCGAGCTGCTCAAGAACGAGGACTACGATTGGTCGGTCGATTACTTCACGCTGGGGGTGACCATCTACGAGATGCTGGAGGCGAAGGGACCCTTCCGCCGGCGGGGGGAGAAGGTGACCCCAACCCACCCCCAGTGCCCCCCAGTACAGACCAGTATGGTCCAGTACAGACCAGGAACCACAGGAACCCCCAGGAACCCCAAGGAACAGCTGAGAACTTCCAAAAACCTCCCCAGAACCACCAAGAACTCCTCAAAATTCAACTCAGGGTTCCCAGAAACCTCCCAGGACCTTCAGGAACCCCCAAGAAACCCCCAGGACCTTCAGAAACTCCAAAATTTCCAATAAACCCCCAAAATAACTCCCCGGAAACTTCAGAAGCTTCCAAGAACCCCCAATAAACCTCCCAGGTCCCTCAGAAACCCCCAAGAACCTCCAAGTAACCTCCAAAACCTCCAAGAACCCTCCTGAAGACCCTCACAACCCTCCAAAACATCCAAGAACCCCCCAAGGTCCCCCAGAACCCCCCAAGAACCTCCAACCCCCCCCCCTCCATCCCAAGAACCTCCAAGAACCCCCCAGGGTCCCTCAGAACCCCCCTGAGGTCCCTCAGAACCCCCCAAAGCCTCCACCGAAGGTGACCCCAAGGACGCCCCACCACGTTTCGGTGTCCCCCCGCACCCACCAGGTGGAGAACAAGGAGGTGACGCGGCGCATCCTGCACGACCCCGTGTCCTACTCGGACAAGTTCAGCGCGGCCGCGCGCGAGGCCTGCGAGGGGCTCCTGGCCAAGGACCCCCAGGCCCGCCTGGGCTTCCGCGACAACGGCTGCGCCCAGCTCAAGGCCCACGCCTTCTTCAGGACCATCAACTGGGGGCGCCTCGAGGCCGGTAACGCCCACGGGGGCTCCAGGAGGGTCTCCGGGGGGTTTGGGGTCTCCAGGGGGTGGTGGGTGGTCAAGAGTTGGGGTCTGCAATGAGTTTTGGGGTCTCCTTTGGGTTTTGGGGTCTCCATTGGGGGTTCTGGGGTCTCCAGGGGGTTCTGGGGTCTCCAGGGGTTGATGGTGGTGGAGGTGGGGCTTGGTAGAACGTTGCATGGTCAAGGGTTGTGGTCTGCAATGAGTTTTGGGGTCTCCAATGGGTTTTGGAGTCTCCATTGGGTTTTGGGGTCTCCTGGGGATTTTGGGGTCTCCAGAGGGTGGTGGGTGGTCAAGAGTCGGGGTCTTCAATGGGTTTTGGGGTCCCTGGGGTCTCATTTCCTGGTGGTTCTGGGGAGGTTTTGGAACTTCTCAGATGTTCCTGGGGGTTCCTGGGGGTTCCTGGGGGTTCCTGGGGGTTCCTGTGATTACTGGACCATACTGGGGCTATCAAGTGTGCCAACCCCAAACCCACCGCGGCGTCCCCCCCCTCCCCAAGGTCTGGTGCCGCCGCCGTTCGTGCCGGACCCGCGCCGGGTGTACGCCAAGGACCTGGGGGACGTGGGGGCGTTCTCGACGGTGAAGGGCGTGGAGCTGGACGCGGGGGACGCGGCGCTGTGCGACGCCTTCGCCTCGGGCACGGTGCCCATCCCCTGGCAGGAGGAGCTCATCGAGACCGGCGTCTTCGAGGAGCTCAACGTGTGGGGGGCGCCAGGGACGCTGCCCCCCGACCTGGACCCCAGCGCCGCGGGGGGCGCCGCGGGCAAGTCCTCGACGTGCCGGCTGCTCTGAGCGGGGGGGGACCCCGAAATTTGGGGGGATTCCATCTGGTGGATGAGGGACCCCGAAATTTGGGGGTGGGACCCCAAAATTTGGGAAGAGGACCCCGAAATTTGGGGGTGTTCTACAGCTGCTCTGAGGGGGGGCACCCCGAAATCTGAGGGGAGACCCCAAAAATTGGGGTGATTCCATCTGCTGTGAGAGGGAGGGCACCCCGAAATCTGGGGGGAATTTCACCTGGTGTGAGGGGGCACCCCGAAATTTGAGGGGGGACCCCAAAATTTTGGGGGGCAACTCCATCTGTCATCTGCTGGTGACATCAAAATTTTGGGAGGCTCTTCAACCTGGTGTGAGAGGGGGACACCCCAAAATTTTGGTGGAGGCTCCATCTGCTGTGAGAGGGGGCACCCGAATATCTGGGGTGGGTTCTACACCTGGTGCGAGTGGGATTGCACCCCAAAATTTTGGGGGAAGGGGGACAGGGGCACGTGAAATGTGGGGGGCTCTAAAAGTGGGGGGGCTGCATCCTGAAGGGGCTTGAAAGTGGGGGACCCCCCCCTCTTTGAGGATACCGGGAGTTGGGGCCCAAATTTGGGGTGTCCCCCCCCTTTTTGGGGTGTGTGGAATGGGGGTGAAAAAAAGGAAAAAAAACCAAAAATCAACAATGCCCCCTCCCCAAAAAAAGGAGAGACCCCAAAACTCGAGGGACACCCCCAGATTTCAGGGACTCCCCCATCTCAGCTCGGTGCCACCTGGGGGGGGTCCCCAAAATTTACCTCATGGCCGCCCCCCCCCCCCCCCCCCCCCGTGACTCAGGGAGCCCCCCAAAAAAATGGGGGAACCACCCCCAGAAAAGGGGAAACCCTCCCCAAAAATGGGGGAACACTCCCAAAAATTGGGGAACCCCCCAAAAAGGGGGTCCCCTCCCCTCCCCCGTTCGTGTACAATAAATCGTGGTTGTTGCTGCTCCATGGGGGGGTCTGGATTTTGGGACACCCGGATGTCACCCCCGATGTGCCTCGGTGTCACCACAATGTCCCCTCAGTGCCACCCCCAACGGGAACTGTCCCTCCCAGTGTCCCCAAGTGTCCCCAAATGTCCCCAATGTTCCTGATGTCCCCACAAGTCCCCTCATCCTCCATGTCCCAACATCCCCAATGTGTCCCCACTGTCCCCATTGTCTCCAATCCCCCCAGTGTCCCCAATCCCCCAATGTCCCCATTGTCCCCAAATGTCCCCAATGTGTCCCCAATCCCTCAATGTTCCCCCAATGTCCCCAATATCCCAATCCCTCCCAATCCCCACAGTGTCCCCATTGTCCCCAATATCCCCCCAGTGTCCCAAATCCTCCCAATGTGTCCCCAATGTCCCCAATCCCCCCAATGTCCCCAAATGCCCCCAATGTCACCAGTGTCCCCAATGTCGCCAAGTGTCCCCAATCCCCCCAATGTGTCCCTAATGTCCCCATTGTCCCATATCCCCCCACTGTCCCCAATGTCCCCAATTCCCCAATCCTCCCAATGTCCCCAATGTCCCCAATCCCTGCAATATCCCCAATGTCCCCAGTGTCCCCACTGTCCCCAGTGTCCCCAATGTCCCCAATCCCCCCGATGTCCCCAAGTGTCCCCAAGTGTCCCCAATGTCCCCACTGTCCCCAATGTCCCCAATTCCCCAATCCTCCCAATGTCCCCAATGTCCCCAATCCCTGCAATATCCCCAATGTCCCCAGTGTCCCCAATGTCCCCAATCCCCCCAATGTCCCCAAGTGTCCCCAAATGTCCCCGCTGTCCCCAGGTGTCCCCGCAGCCGGCTCAGCTCTACGGTGTTTATTGGCGTCTCTAACACTCACTGATGCAGATAAATAGTGGACATTTGTCACCGCTGCCACCCCCGCCATGGGGACACCCCGGGGACCCCCCCGCCACCCCCCGGGACCCCTCCCCTGTGGGGACACCCCCGAGGGGACAAACCCATGGGGACACCCCGAGGGGACACCCCCGAGGGGACAAACCATGGGGACAAACCCATGGGGACAAACCCACGGGGACACCCAGAGGGGACAGACAGCCCAGAGGGGACGGACGCCATGGGGACACGAGGAGGGGTGGGGACATCCCGTGAGGGACATCTGTGGGGTGACCTCCTTGGGGACATCCCAGGGGGGACATCTGTGGGGTCACCTCGGTGGGGACAGAGCCACCCCCTTGGGGACATCCCAGTGGGGACATCCATGGGGTCACCCCAGTGGGGACATCCCGGTGGGGACAGGTCCAGCCCTTGGGGACATCCATGGGGTCACCCCAAAAGGTCACCTCCTTGGGGACATCCCACAGGGGACATCCCCCATTAGGGCCACCCCATTGGCGACATCCCATTTGGGACATCACCTTGGGGACATCCGCATTGAGGTCACCCCATTGGGGTCACCCCCAGGGCCACCCCCTTGGGGACATCCCACTGGGGACATCCCCCATTAGGATCACCTCTTGCGGGACATCCCAGTGGCGACACCCCTTTGGGGCCATCCCCTTGGAGACATCTTCCATTAGGGTCACCTTATTGGGGACATCCCATTGGGGACATCTCCAGGGCCACCCCTTGAGGCCACCCCTTGGGGACATCCCCCATTAGGGTCACCTCACTGGGGACACCCCCAAGGCCTCCCCATTGGGGACATCCCATTGGCGCCATCACCTTGGGGACATCTTCCACTGAGGTCACCCCCTTGGGGACACTCCATTGGGGACATGCCCCATTGGGGTCACCTCAATGGGGACATCCCCAGGGCCACCTCCTTGGGGACATCCCAGTGGTGACATCCCCCATTGACGTCACCCCATTGACGTCACCCCCGGGTGTCCCCGCCCCATTTCTGGCGCCACCCCCGCTGTCCCCTCCGTGTCCCCTCCGTGTCCCCTCCCCCTCCCCGTCCCCGTGTTGTCCCCGCTCCATTTTTTGCCCGTTTCTGTTCGGTTTTGCCCCTAAAGTGCGCTCGGGAGGGGGGAGGGGACACGGGGGGGACATTGGGGACATTGGGGGGGAGGGGACATTGGGGACAATGGGGGAGGGGCATCGGGGGGTCCGTCAGTAGCAAACGCGGCCACGAAAGTGCAAAAGGGGGGAGGGGCCGCGGGGGGAGGGGCGGGGCTTGCACGGGGAGGGGCGGGGCTTGCACGGGGACCGTCCTTGCACACGCGCCTTGCACGGGGACAATCTGCACAAAGATCCCTGCACGAGGAACGTCCCTCGCACGAGGGTCCTTGCACGAGGAGGATCCTTGCACACGCACTTTGCACGAGGAACGTCCCTTGCACGTGGAAGAACCTTGCACGTGGAGGATCCTTGCACGAGGGCTTTGCACGAGGATCCTTGCACAAGGAACGTCCTCTTGCACGAGAAGGAGGTTTTTGCACAAGGATTTGCACAAGGGTCGGGTCGTTGCACGAGGACAATCCTCACACGAGGATTTGCTCGCTCCCACGCCCGCCTTGCACAAGCACAGCCCATCCTCGTGCAAGGCCCTCTCTGTGCACACTCCCCCCCCTCGTGCAAGGCGTGCAGGGGCCCCTCGCACGCTCGGCGGGTGTGGCAGAGCGTGAGCGTGAGCTGAGTGTGAGTGGGTGTGCAATGGAGCGGGGGGAGGGGCAGTGGGTGTGCAAGGGGGGTCAGGGGTGTGCAAGGGGGGTTTTTACATGAGGGGGGGATGGGCCTTGCACGAGGGGGGGCCTTGCACACTCACCATTGCACGAGGACCAATTTACACACTCAGAATTGCACAGGGACCCGTTTGCACGCTCACAACTGAATGAGGAGTCCTTTGCACACTCAGAATTGCACACGGAGCCATTTGCACACCCCAAAATGGACAAGGACCCATTTGCACACTCCCCATTGCACAGGGACACGTTTGCACACTTAGCATTGCACAGGGACCCATTCACACACTCACAACTACATGGGGATCCATTTGCACACTCAGATTTGCACAGGGACCCATTTGCACACTCACCATTGCACAGACCCTCCCTTGCACACTCATAATTGCACAAACATCCCCTTACACACTCACACCGGCCCCAGGCCCCTCCCTTGCACGCTCACCATTGCACCAGGCCCCTCCCCGTGCCCCCCCGCCCCCTTGCACGCCCGCCTTGCACACTCGCCCCTCCCCCCGGCTGGAATGTCGCTGCGATGCCGATAAGGTGCCAAAGGGGGGGGGAGGGGTTTGGAATTTTGGGATTTTGGGAATTTTGGGATTTTGGGGGGCCCCGGGATAGTGGGGGGGGCCCCGATTGGGGGGGGGGAGGGGAGGGGTCCCCGTGGTGGGGGAGGGGCCCCTGGGGGGTGCAAAATGCTGCCGGGGGGGAGGGGCGGGGCCCGAATATTTTTGGGGGGGGTCCCTGTTTTGGGGGGGCTTTGCTGTTTTGGGGGGGGGTCCCTGTGCTTGAAGGGGGGGGTGGGGACGCCTCCCCACCAGTTTGGGGTGACTGGAAGCCCCTCCCACCTCCCAGTATCCCCAGTGCCCCCCCCCCCCAGTCTCATCCTGGTCCCTGGGACCCCCCCTCAAATTCCTATGGGGGTCCCCATTTCCTATGGGAAATGATTTTGGGGACCCCCAACAATTTTGGGAGCCCCTAAACTTCAGTGGGGGCCATAAACCGCTGTGGGACCCCCCCAAAAAAATTTATGGGGACCCCCGACCTCTTATGGGGCTCCCCCAAATTTTATGGGGTCCCTCATTTTCTATGGGTCGCATGGGAGACCCCTCCCCATTATAGGCCACCCCCTTTTTCTATGGGGTCCCCCCAACATCTGTGAGACCCCCACCCCCTCCACTGCCCCCAATACAGGGCAGGGAGCCCCCCTCACCTTTGGGACCCCCCCCCCAAATTTTTTGGGGGCTCCCCTCCCCCACCCCTCAGATGCCCCCCCCCGCTTTCCGGGGCCTCTCCCCTCCGCCCCCCCCGGGGAACCCAAAGCTGGGGGGGGTGGGGGCGGGGGGATGGGGGGGG